CCCCAGAATGTTGGGTCACGTGATTTGATGCGCGAAGTGTGTTGGAGCACGCGAGAGTGCTCGTCTTGAGAGTGTTCGGCCGAAGCGTGCTCGGCCTCGGAGTCGGATCATGCGATTTGATACGCGAAGTGTGTTGGAGCACGCGAGAGTGCTCGTCTTGAGAGTGTTCGGCCGAAGCGTGCTCGGCCTCGGAGTCGGATCATGCGATTTGATACGCGAAGTGTGTTGGAGCACGCGAGAGTGCTCGGGTTGAGAGTGTTCGGCCGAAGCGTGCTCGGCCTCGGAGTTGGGTCACGTGATTTGATGCGCGAAGTGTGTTGGAGCACGCGAGAGTGGTGTTCAGGTAGGCCACTAGTTTGGGTGAATCTCCTCTAAGTCCTTAGCTAGTGGTTGAGCGGAGTATGAGGTCGAGGGTTATTCCCTTAACCAAGTACTGGGAAAGGTGTGGTTCCTTGCGGATAGTCGGTGGGCGAACTTCACAAGTGATTTGATAATGCATGCCAAGGTCGTGGTAAGCCTGTACCCAGCTGTGCTATACCTGACGGTGGAACCGGACTTCTAATTGTGTAAGTGACATCATCCGAGTAAACTCGAGTGAGGATTTATATCTTCGTATATGCAGCTAATGTCACCTCAACGGTCATTTACATTAAATGTTGATTTTAGTGCGAGCCAGAGTAGGGTTTCATAGAAAGAAAATACTCCTATTAGAGATATCAGTTAAAAAGAACTTAGATAGGAATTCGAATCTTTCTAGAACGAACCATCAAGATCGAATTCCTAGGGAGGTCGTGGTAAGCCTGTACCCAGCTGTGCTATACCTGACGGTGGAACCGGACTTCTAATTGTGTAAGTGACATCATCCGAGTAAACTCGAGTGAGGATTTATATCTTGTTTGCCCCCCGACTATCCGCAAGGAACCACTCCGTTCCCAGTACTTGGTTAAGGGAATAACCCTCGACCTCATACTCCGCTCAACCACTAGCTAAGGACTTAGAGGAGATTCACCCAAACTAGTGGCCTACCTGAACACCACTCTCGCGTGCTCCAACACACTTCGCGCATCAAATCACGTGACCCAACTCCGAGGCCGAGCACGCTTCGGCCGAACACTCTCAACCCGAGCACTCTCGCGTGCTCCAACACACTTCGCGTATCAAATCGCATGATCCGACTCATATTTATATTTATACACATGTATGTATGAGTGGTTCAGTTTCTATATTCTCTTAGTTCACTAGTAGTAGTGCGATTCCACAAAGTGTAGGAACTATGGCGGTTCGTTACACACCATTACACATCTCTATTAATTACTCACAATAATCCTGAGCAACTCAATTCATACAAGAAAAGACTTAGTATGCAAAATTAATCATATATAATCGCAAATTACAACATTTCAAAACTAATAGAATCACGTGGAAGACAACAAATAAGAAAATAAAACAAGTGAGATTTTCTCCTTCATGTAATGCATGCAACACAAAGAGATTAGCTAGAGGTCAATCTCGCTACCTAACAATTACTTCTACGTTCTATAGCAAGAATTCTCAATCCCTTTTACCTCAATTAGAAAAATGCGAAGAATATGAGTGTATGAGATGATCTCTTCTTGCTTTCTTTCCTTTTAATTATTTAGAGTGTAAAAATAAGATAATGACATGTCTCTCTTTTTTAATTTAAAGCCTAACTCAACCTCCATTAACTCATTTACGATAACTCAACCTTAACTATAGTTACGTATTTATATATATATATATATATATATATATATAACATTGAAGTAGCCGTACTGATTGGCCATACTTTAATGGAATATTTTACTTTCTAATTTTGTCATATTCATTAACGCCTAGTAATATAAACACAACCGAATGGTATGCTCGACCGAAGGGGGTTTAAATTCATGTTTTTCGCGGATTAATGCTTGGTGTGAGTTCGGCTCAGGAGTGCTCTGCCTAGGCGTGCTCGGCCTCGAAATGCTAGAGTACGTGCGAGTGCTCGGCTTGAGAGTGTTCGGTCGAAGTGTGCTCGGCCTCGGAGTCGGATCATGCGATTTGATACGCGGAAGTGTATTTGATCCGCGAGAGTGCTCGTCTTGAGAGTGTTCGACTGAAGCGTGCTTGGCCTCAGAGTCAGATCATGCGATTTGATACGCGATGTATTTGATCCGCGAGAGTGCTCGGCTTGAGCGTGTTCGGCCGAAGCGTGCTCGGCCTCGGAATGTTGGGTCACGCGATTTGATGTGCAATGTGTGTTGGAGCACGCGAGAGTGCTCGTCTTGAGAGTGTTCGGCCGAAGCGTGCTCGGCCTCGGAGTCGGATCATGCGATTTGATACGCGAAGTGTGTTGGAGCACGCGAGAGTGCTCGGGTTGAGAGTGTTCGGCCGAAGCGTGCTCGGCCTCGGAGTTGGGTCACGTGATTTGATGCGCGAAGTGTGTTGGAGCACGCGAGAGTGGTGTTCAGGTAGGCCACTAGTTTGGGTGAATCTCCTCTAAGTCCTTAGCTAGTGGTTGAGCGGAGTATGAGGTCGAGGGTTATTCCCTTAACCAAGTACTGGGAAAGGTGTGGTTCCTTGCGGATAGTCGGTGGGCGAACTTCACAAGTGATTTGATAATGCATGCCAAGGTCGTGGTAAGCCTGTACCCAGCTGTGCTATACCTGACGGTGGAACCGGACTTCTAATTGTGTAAGTGACATCATCCGAGTAAACTCGAGTGAGGATTTATATCTTGTTTAACTGTGACTAAGTGAGCGCATTGGACGTGAAAATGGCTGGGGGGGATTTTGGGTGCATACACAATCTTTAAGACATTTTTATCCTCTATTTATTATAATAAATACTAAATTCTTTTTTTTTAACTAAAAGATAATTCAATAATTTTATTTTATCAATTTAAACAAAAATTATTATTTTTCATCATAAGCATTTCGTAATTTTCTCATCCTAAATATTAATATAACCGTGTCCATCCCAAAACAATAACAAGGCAGAGAGTGCCTTTTTTTGCTAGGTAGAAAATAAAAAAAGCAAAGTAGGCCTTAATCTAACCGTAATTCATTGTTTTTCCATTTGTGCATGGAAGAGTGCAAAAATTCAGTTCAACATCATTCTAACGGATTTCCTATCACAACTTTAACGATTCAGTGTCATGAAATACAAACATGCTAATCAGCTGCTTCCAACTCCAAACACCAGAGGATAAAACCATTCAGCCGATCCATAAGTATAGTAAATAAGAACATACTTATTTTCTTCAATAGATTCCATAGGCTTACAAGGTAAATCTTTGTCACTGATGCAATTTGATCGAAATACGGCATGCCAGTCATGTATAATTTCTGCCCAACATCATGGATGCATATATCAACGAAATTAATTACCAACATATTATAATATAATAATAGTAATTAAAAACAAAAGGCACATAACATAGGTTCATCTTTACCTGCAAGAATGGTATTGCTGACCTGAGGAATTTGACAAGAAGCGATATGAAAGTGTTCTTGGACAAATTATAGGCCCCGATAGTTATATCAGTTAGAAAATCAAAGAGGGGCTTAACATGACATGTGAAATTCGAGCATTGATTCTTCACAATGGATTCCAGCTCCTACACATAAACAAACAGACACGAGAAACTTTTTATTGTGTATTGTTTCAGTCATCAAATCATAATATACAGTTTCTGTATCTGGCTTATAAAGAAGCTAAGTGTTATTCAAATTACACATACACCATCTTTCCTTTCCCATTATTCAATAGATTACTCTTGACTACTTCTAAACAAAGATTTCAGCATACCTGTTCTTCAATGTGAGACCGTTTTGCATCAGAAAAGTCCTGTAATTACATAATGCAAGATGATTAAAGAATATTGAAAGAAAAATTGAACTACTATAATGAAAAATATAGAAAGCTTACTTGAATGGAGTCAATCTTATCCTTTAGAGATGTAATTTCTTTTTCCAAAATCTCCTTACCTCGCAGTTCATGATCCATCTCCTCGACGCTGGATTCTTTTATAGTGTAAAACAAATAGTTAATTAACAGATATTAGCAAAAAGGGAAAAGGAAAGACAGAAGAATGAACAAATAGAGAAATTATTAAGAAGCATATTATCATCTATATATGTTGTCCTTCATTAGCTTACAGTGTTATTTGAGTTTCAATTAACTCAAGTTGCATTAAAGATACGTGTCCCACAGTTTCTACATTGAAAGTTCAATATCCTCAAAAACATTTTCACGGCACACAGAGAGCCACAAGTACACAATCACTTTGTATGAAATCATTCATTGTAACTCGAAAGTCCATATATAAAATGTGGTGTAAAGAAAAGTGAAAGGAACAGTTAGAGTGAGTAAAGGAAATGATATATAAAATATGTATATATGGTAAGGAAATGAGGTAACCTAAGAGTGAAAGCCTTGAGTTGAGTTGGTTGAGTTGGCGTTGTTTGTGTATTGCAAGAATGATGAAGAAGAAGGAGAGAAGGAGAGAGAAGATGAAGAGCTTTGAGGTGAGCTTTGGAGAATTCATTTGGAGTTGAAAGAAGAAGAAGAAGAAGAAACCTGTGTTATGCGTTGTGTAAGAGAAGTGACAAGGGTTCCTGCAATACGCGTGACAGGAAATAGTGTATGGAGCCGTGTGCATGCATGACAATTGACAACAGATGATAAGATGTGCGCAGCAGCAAGACCGGTTTTGCACTTTCCAACTACGACTATTCGCTTCGTTCGGGGACACTTCACACGCTTCAATTTCTTTTAATCAAATTTACATGCAATTTCTTTCATATATATTAATCAAACATATATTAAATATAAATGTATCATATTAATATAAAATTTTCATTTTAATTTAAAAAATACTACCAATTACACTTAACTTGTACTCGCTAAAGAAAAAATTAAATATATGAGAAACAGAATAGAGAAAAATTAAATTAAATAAAATCAAAATATAATTATTTGATTAAAGAAAAAATGTGAAAAATAAATAAAAATAAGATATATATAAAAAATAAAAGGAGGTAAAATTTACTATCTTTTATTTTTTCACTTTCTTATTTTTTATTAATTAAATTTCTTAACTTATTTTCACTCTAACTTTTCTATTTCTCATCTATTTTATTTCAACCAAATCATTCTATGTATTTTTATTTTTAAATATAAACCGTGACGAGTCACTTATTTATGTATGTAAGATTAGAGCAAAGCATAATTTTTATTACAACTTTTTAATATATGAGTGAATATTAAACAAGTCTATTTGGGTAACTAATGTGTAATAAATATTTTTTTGTAATTTTTTTTAAAAAAAACTATTTGAGAAAAAAATTATTCTACTAATAAGTAATTTCAGAACTGTAGTTATGTATCCTACAATTGTTTTATCATGTTATTCCCTAATTTAATTTCTTTATCAAAATCAGAAATACATCAGACCTATAAAATAAGATAGAGATTTGATTGTTTAAATTTTTGTATAGAACATTTTTAATAAAATAAGTTTATTTTATTTTACTTTTTTGTAATTTTTTTTAAAAAAAACAACTTTCTACTTTTTTAAGAAATAATTTCTATCTATTTTTTTAAAATTATTTTTTTTGAAAAACATTTCTTTAAAAATACTATTTTTAAGTTTAAACAAATAAACTCGAGAGTTAAATATCACTTATTAACCTATAAATAACAAATTATTAATGGATAATATAATTATCTTATCTTATTTTATTCACTAAATGAATCCTAATAAGAAATTTAATATATTAAATATTTTATTTAAAATTATGTTGAGATATAAGAAAAATTATGTTATGAATGAATTGATAACAAATTTATATAAGTTTCTTAAAAATAAATTTATCTCTCAAACGATGTCTTAAGAACATTCTTAGTATTTTAATAAAAATTATAAACTTTTCGGGTATTCTTCTTTGAGTAAATTACAGTTGATCTCTTATGTGTTTTCAATATTGCATCTCCTTTTATATTTTGACAAATTTTTGTTTTCTCCTTAATAAGCCTTGTTAAGTAACTTTAACAACTTAATATTGAAATGCAAAAGTATCTGTCACTTAAAATTGTATGCTCGTAATTCTAATATATACAAATGTGTTAATAGCTTTGTTTCGTCAGCATTGTCCGTTTATTTAATTTACTGGTTGTTCTTATTTTTACCACGTATGAAAATCTTCTAGTGCCAGGAGGTAAAATAAATGAAGTTCACGTCGGAAACACCTTGAAATGCAATGTTACAAAAAAAAAAAAAAAAAAAAAAAAAAAAAAAAGGGAAAATGGGAGATAGAACTACGTTGAAAAATAGTTTTACCTATCATATTACAATATTACAAGCTATTATTTATAAGTAAATTGTTAACTTTTATTATAAGTAAAAAAATTATAACAAGGATAATATATCTTATTGCTTAATAGTATAAAATTATTTTATATGATTCGTATATTACTATCAGGTTAATTTATCAGTAAGAAAACACAACTTTCACGAAGATGAGGGTTTAAAAATACTAAGGAGATACTTGGCTGATTTTCAAGGGGCAATTCATTAGAAGATAAGCAAATGGAGTGGCTGTTCTTTGGTTAGATCTTTAATTGTGAATTCTATCCATTTTTTTTTTATATTTTTATTGTGTTACTCGAGTAATCACTACTCTATTGCAATGAAAATGATTCGATGTGTTATCGGAAAGAAAAATATTAAGGTTTAAAAATTTGAGTTTATCGTTTATATACTGTTATATATTGTTAGTGTAAATTTTTTTTTACACTGATAACTAATTAGATCTTTTAATAATGTCATGTTATTTACTTATTTAATCAAATTAAAATAAAAAATACTATTAAAAGATCTGATTAATTGTCGTATAAAATTTTTTTACACTAATAATGTATAGATGATTAACTTTAAAAATAATTAAAAAAAAACTATAGAAATATGATTAAAAAATTAACAAACATGATAGGTGGAAAAGCTAGGGTTAAAAAAATATATTTAGTAATATTTTTTAAAAACAGAAAAAAGGGAATGTACTTAGTAAAAAGAGGGTGCAATTAGCAACTAGAAAGACCCTACATTGGGCTTGGGAATGGCCGGTGTCAGAAACGGGTTCTGGGTTGGGTCATACGAGATAAAACGGGTTAACCCGTTAAATAAATAAAAACAAATAAAAAGGGTTTTAGAATTAGGGCTTTTCAGTTTTTGTCTTCCGAATCCACAGCCACCGCGAGTCGCAAGCCAAAGGTGTGGCGTGGACAGCCATAGCAGCAATCATGTAAGTGCAATTTTATGCCTTCCGAACTTTGACATTTCAATCCCAATTGTGTCGATATTATAGTTTAGGTCAACATTTTGAACAATTTTATGCTGATTTCCTTAGATGCTATAATCATTGTTTGTTTACGTTTTCAAATGTTGTAATCGCGGTTGGGATGATGCTAAGTAGGAGAATAGGGATGCGTCCTTTATTGTTGTAAATTTTCTGTGCTTTTTTAAAGTTCTTCGAAGCAGTAGTGTTTTGTTGGCAGTTCAGGGGATTGGTCCTATTGGATGCTATTTCTTCACTTGTTAATAGTTTGTTATTGCATATGGTAGTGATTGAATACGTGTTGAGTCTGTTGCTGTTTTTGATATTTTATTGATTCATTAGGTTATTTAATTGATGAGGTTTCTGCTTGCGATAGTTCGACGATACATGTAGGAGCTAACAATATGTATCTCTTGGGATTTTGTGCGATAATATTTTGTGCCTTATTGTTTGTTTTTTAACTTTTTTTTTTCTTTTTTTTTTCTCTGGTAGTGAGGTGCTGCACTAATCTGAGGTGCAATGAGATTGGAGAAATGCTGGTTTTGCTCGTCGACCGTATACCCTGGACATGGAATCCAGTTTGTTCGTAATGATGCAAAGGTAAAATGCACGTCACTCTTTCATGACTCTTTGGATTTTGGACTAATAATCTTTATTTCTTCTTAGGGTTTGTTTTGGTTCGAAGGAGGGGAGGGGAAGAATGGGGAAGGATTTTTATTAGTCATTCTATTTTGTTAAGAAGAGGGATTTTAATAGAGGGAAGTAGTAGTTTTTTTTTTATTTGGTTCACGACAGAAGAGGCTGGACTTTAAAAATTAATTTATTTTTATGCTCTTAAAGTTTTGATTTTTAGAACAATGAGGATATCTGAGACATTATTATATTCAAAATGTTTATAATATGTCCAAAATCACCCCTATATTGTAGGGAAGGAAAAATTGGATGAGGAGGAATTTTGGTCTCCTTCCCCCTCTCGTGCTAAAAATTAAACCAAACAATAAAAGTTTATAAAAATCCCTTTTGTTATCTCCGTTTATCTTCAACTAAACACTAAGTTAATGGATTTTCTCGTTTATTAAGATATAGATATGAAATAAATAAAGTTACTCCTACCTTCCCCAGGTCCATTTCTGTAAATGCTACTTCTGAATTACTTGTTATGTAATTGATTGTTCTTGTTGGATCAGACGAGATTAACTGTTTTATGAAAGTGGAGCTCCTTTCCGATGGCATTAGTGGTGCAGATTGCTGATGACTCTTTTTTCTTTCGTTTTGCAGATTTTTCGGTTTTGTAGATCCAAATGCCACAAGAACTTTAAAATGAAGAGAAATCCTCGTAAGGTAAAATGGACCAAGGCATATCGACGAGTGCATGGAAAGGATATGACACAGGTAGTTATTTGGGTCCTAGTCTATTAGATTCCTGCTTATTTTAATTGCCTTGGTTTGGGCTAATTTTAGAGCTATTATTTTTTGTTTTAGGATTCGACCTTTGAGTTTGAGAGAAAGCGAAACAGGCCTGAAAGATATGACAGGAATCTTGCGGAGAATGTCCTCAAGGCCATTCCTAAGATTGATAAGATCAGAGTCACCAGGGAGGAGAGACACCATAAGAATAGGTCCTCTTTGGATCCTTATATATATATATATATGTACATTTGAAAGCTTTACAAGTTGTTTTCTTTTGGCTTTTTTGCTGACCTTTTGTAAAAACTTGAATAGGATGAAAGGCAAAAAGGAGAAGCTGCAGAGGGAGGCAGTGAAGGAGTTGGAGCAGAGCATCAGTTTGGTCAAAGCTCCTTCCGTGCTTCAACAGGATCCATCTCTCACTTTGCCAAAGATCAAAGTCAAGGTTTCCCAAAAGCAATCAGAGGAGAATCATGCCATGGAAGAGTGATTCTATCGATGTTGCACTTGATTTTTACCGTTTTAATATTTGTGGTTAGATTAGTTGCCCGGAAGGCCCAGTTTACCATTTTTCTTGTGATCATTAATGTGAATGATGTGATTTTCGAACAAAAATTTTGGGGAACATTTGGTGTGTTTGTCCCTCAAACGATGTTTCTCTGTGATAGTTAACTATTATAAAGGAAATCAGAAAGCTGCTATATACAATCTTTGGGTTGGAATTGGTAATGGTGTGGGCTTGTCCTACTATTGCAGTATGACGAATGTGTCATCGTCAAGTAAGAATAGCATGTTTGTTACTATAGTATGTTTTTCAATAATTCTGTGAAAAGTTGGTAAAAATGAGTTAGTTTTTCTTTAAAATAAGTTGAATTAAATACGCACTAAAGCCTAGAAGTTTTAGTTGTTTCTTCTCTGCCTCTTTTTCATTGTTGTATATAACTAGTATATGTGATTGTGAAACAATTCTATTAGTGTATTGAAGCAAATGAATAGTGAAAAAAAATATATTTAAACATTTTATGGAGAAGCACTTTTGTTCTAGGTACTGATGAAATATAGTAAATGGTAATAATGTAGAAATATATTATCTTGTATACTATGTTTACCATAATGAAAGCAATATGAATTAAATTGCTTAATTTGTTTGTTTCATTTCTTATTATTCTTATTTAAAAATAATTCATACATTAATGAAGTAATTAGAAGATATATTTCTTGTAATGCCTATTTTTCATTTAGAAGGATAGGAAACATAACTTGTAATTTCAATCCTTTGCAATGATGGATAAAAATAGCATCTTTTAACCCAGGCTGCTAGCAATTTCAATCCATATGTTAATTTTGGGGTTCACCTTTAGTGTTACCTGGGCTCGGCCCATTTGAAGAAGAGGTAGTGGAGCGAATCATTTGAGAATTGCATATGAAAGTAGTAAAATTACAGCGAAAATAAACATATATAGTATTTTGCACTAACACGTCTATTTAATTATTATCCTTCTGCTCCTGTAGTATGACTGGTTTAAATTGAAGTGTTCTATATGGAAGTATTAGAAGAAGTAAAACAAAGGTTTTTCAAGTGTGAGAGCGGTTGAAAGATTTGATATTAGAGAATTAATTTGTATCTACAAATGATATTTTAAAAGTAAATATAGAATAATCGATTGTTTTTTGAATTTTGATGATCTCTAAAGTCACTTTCAATTTTAAAAGTTTTATAGGTTTCACACTCAAAACTCAATTATTTTCATTAAAATCCTAAAATTTTGTTCTTATCGCAAAATTAGTAATCTCATAACCAATGAATGGATTATTTTTGTGCTTATCTCACAATTATTACCTAAGGTTTGTCCTATTATTATTATTTTTCGATGGATGGATTTAACGCGTCTCAATTTAGTTTAGTATTTATTTCTTTCCTAAACTGTCCTGTTGACTTCTTTCTAGTCTAATAGCTTCTTTAAGAAAAGTCGTGGAAGACATCAAAATTACTGGGGGAAGGAAATCGTTGTTTTAAATCAAAACGAATTTTACTCTTAAAAGCAATATTGACTTTTCAAATGCATACTAGGTTGTAACAAAATGTGGTCAGTCAGTTTTTTTAGTAGTACAAGCTGTTTTTTTTTTTTTTTTTTTTTTGGGTTTATAGGTAAAACTGTACGGGAAATTAAAGTCAAAATTGCTTAACACTCTGAATCCTTGATCGTAATTCAATTTCATTATAATTTTAATCAATTAAACCTATGGACTACTCTTCTACCAAATCTTTTCTCTCATGTTTTAATTTTTCCTTTGTTGGGTTGAACTGCTCTTGTGCTGTTTTTTTTTATAACTTAAAGTAATGGATTTGCTATTCTATTTAGAGTTCTCACATTAAATTCAATGGTGCAATTAATCTTGGTTGCTGATGTTGATTGTTATTTGTTGCCGACATTATGACGTGTAATTTAAACATTTTCTTTTATCATGATTCATGACGGAATATTTTGAGGGTTGAAGAACACATTGGAATTTTTAAGTGTCATTTTCATGAATTAAAATAAATGTAACTATCAGTTAACAAGAAAAAGGACTATTTGCCAAACTTCAAAGAAACAACAAAATCCTAACAAAGTTTTTAAATTGTCTTTCTCAACAAGACATTTATTATTTAGATCGTGCGTTGCATTTTTTTACCATCTTTTGAGGAGATTAGCTTGGAAGACTAAAATTGCACATGCTTAAGGAGATCAGATGTCGTTTTAGTCTTGATTACTAATTATACAGATCCAGCCTAGGAAATTATGAACTGAGGAAAAAATAATAGAAAATTTGGTCGAGAATTTAGGTCCCTTTGTCTATGATCTTCTTTATATCATCAATTTTATTTCATCTGAGTTCCAATGTCTGATTATTGCAGCAAAAGAATGGCAACCAAAATTGTTAGAGTCTGTTTAGATAAAAATTTGAAAATATTTTTAAGAATTTCTCTACTTAAAAATAATTTTTATTTTTAGTGGAGAAACTTTAAAAAGTTTTCTTGCTTGTATCTAAACAAATTCTTAATTATTTATTTCATAATTAGCTGTAAGATGATACCTACAGTGAGAATTACTTAATTCATACTGATATTTTGTTATGATCATCAAGTACAAGTAGTGTATAAAAATATTTAAAGTCTGATTATATAATTTCATAAGTGTTTTTAATAATTTCTCAACAAAAAATATTACTTATTTTTAATTAAAACAAACTTCAAAAATATTTCTAACTTATATTCAAATACACTCTTAATATATAAGATGAATTAGCAAATGCAAATAAAGAAAATTAATGATCTAATTAAGGGGCAAAAACTAAACCTAACTGTTTAATTTATTTTATTAGTTTGATTTTCCTTTATTTACTTTAATTCTTGTTCCACCATCATAAATCATGGTGAGTACCCAAACCATGTTGGAATTATGCTTCTGACAAACGTATATCTCAAGCTAGTCATGTTTTTTGTTTGAAGAAAACGCTTTGTATTATTGCCAGAAGTGGAAAAAGTTCTGTTTCTTGTGCCTTAAAGTTGCGGATAATACATTTGGTCTGATTTGTTTGAATAGTTTTTTCACAAAATATTTCTAGAAAAAATAAATAAGGAGAAAAGATAAAATAAATTTATTATAAATTAAAATAATAAGACTCGGTCAATTTTCAAACCATTCCAACTAGTAACTAAGACAAAGTGCTATGATTTACAGAATAAATACAATAACGATCATAAATGTTAGGATTTACTGACCTATTAATGACAATAATAATACAATATGATTTATCATGAGAAACAAGGGATTCACATCCATAATATCGTCTTAGGAATAAGAGGAGATCAATTTTAACACTCGTTGAATGTTTTGAACTATGATAACCTCCGGGTCTTTTTAGAGAAAGTTTTATACTAAAATATACATAATGAAAATATACTTTGAAAAAATTAATATACGAAATTTATACATATTAATTTCTTTCAACTTTTTTTTCTTCTTAAAAATACTTATGAAGTAGTTTATCCAATTAGATCTATATATAAATATTATTTAATATTCAATAACATTTTTTTTATGAGTAAGAATAATAGGTAGAGGATGACATTCCAAAATTATTGAGCATGAAGTCATTAATAAATTAGAGATCCTCAAATAATAAAATATAATTATTTACTTAGTGGTTAATCAAAGTTTATTAATGTACAATTTGTACCAAAGTTTTATTTGTTGAAATGAGGATTAACATAGTCTTATTGGAGAAATTTCACTTCTAACATCAAAGATCTCCTTAAGTAGTTATACCTATGAAAATATGATTTTAATAGTAGTAGGATATCTTTTGATAACATTTTTTAATATTGTAAGAGAAGATTTGAGTTTGATTTATATGAAACACTTTCTTAAATGAAAAAAATGATATTTAAGTATGGTTACGCTATAAAATTAGTCCTATAATTGACTAAAAAAATCTAAAACTGCAAGGATAGTTGGAAATTCTAATGAAAAATAAAAGTCATGGTTACAAAGAATGTTTATTCAATGTGGTTTTGTAAGCAAACATGGTGGGCATTAAAGTGTGTTGTTTGGTGAAACCTCCCCTGCAAAAGATTGTGGCCCTTACAGTTGCAGTAACAGCCATGGGCATTGAATATGAAGTTCCTATAAATTTGTCCTCCATAAAGTCCACGTGATGTAACATTAATAATGAAAGATTGTTTAGTATACTTCAACAACCATAGCGTTAAACACAGACCCCAAAATTGCATCTTATTCAGAGCATTATACTATAGTACAGTCAACCAAACAGCTTTTTGCTCTAATCATTTTTTATAAGGCAGATTGTTGTAGATTTTGGGACAAGTGTGTGTACTTTTAATTTTATTACTATTAGGATTAATTTTCATTTTTATAGTTATGAATGATTCTTGTACTTGCAATTATGGCCACTGGCACATGAGCTTGGGCTCACATGGAAAGAGCACAAGTTCTTTTAAGACCCCCAACTGCCGATGCCAACCTAAGTCAGAGACTCACTACTAATTTCTCTCATTACATCTAATTTTTCTTACAAATTTTTATGAAATATTCGCACAAAATATTATTTCTATAAATTTTTTACAAAATTTTATTTGCAGGTAATACTTTCGTGAATAATATATTTTTATAAATTTTAAAATTTGCAGGAAATTTTCTTACAAAATTTCTTGCGAAAAAAATTTGCAGGAAAATTTTCCGCAAAAAAAGATTGCAGGAAAGTTTCCTGTAAAAAAAATTATGCGGAATATTTTTTACAAAAAAATTAAAGAAATTACTATAAATTCTATCAATAATTCTTGAACTTTCAATTGTTCAGAATGAATTCATTCGAAGCATTTGTTTCCATGCCTCCAACATGTGATACATAATCTTTTAAATTCTAAGATATAAGATTATAAGCCTAACACTCAACCATATAAATTAACTTGTAAGGTAAGTGTTGCCCCAACTTATATACTCTTTAATTGTTTTATTTTCAATCGACGTGGGACTTGAAATTTTTTTAAAATATTAAACTTATAAATTTTAATTTTTTTTATTTTTCCTGTGGATTAAAATTTGCAGGAAAATTCGCAGGAAAAGTTACCTGCAAAATTTTTCTACCATTTAGTAAACATTACTTGCAAATTTATTTTTGGAAGAAAATCTGCAAGAAACAAAATAAAATTCTTACA